GTTTCCTTTCTTGTTGGGGGGGGGGGGGTCTCCCGCATTTGGGGGTCCCCACATCTTAGGATGGCAAGAGGGGGGAGAGGGGCCCATCTCTAAGCAAAGAGCCTTTTCCTCTTGCCGTTGTGCTCAGCTCTGCCCTTTTCCAAGTGCCCTGTGTCTCCTCTGCAGGAAGAGAACGGGGAAGAAAGTTGAAAATATTGTTTCAAAGGGCCCAATAAATTACACTTTGTCTTGCCTTTCGCCCGATGTCTGGCTCTCCTGCTCCAGACCTGGGGGCTTTGGGCTGGAAGGAAGCCTGTTGTAATTCTGAAAAACGCGTCCCTGCTTGCCAAGATCAGTGGATGGGAAAGGTGCCACCAGCAAGAGAGAGGGAGGTTATTGTCCATGAGTTATAGGTCTCTGTTAATAATAATATGAGCATGTGCTGAACTGGCACATTCCTGCTTGGAGGTTTTCTGTTTAAGAGATGAAAATATGTCAAACAAATTTAAAATGCTTTGGGTTTTATTTATATTTCAGTCTGGGGAGAATTGGATGAAAAATGTGAAGAATGTTCATGGCTCTCGACTTGCGCAGGGTTGTGTTTAAAGCAGCGTTGTGCAAGAGGCCAGCTCAACTTGCCTGAAGTCTCCTTTCCCCCCCTCCATGGGGCCAGATTTGGGACTCAGCTCCAAGGGTGTAAATCCGCATCCAGGAGTTTGGTCTGTGCGGGCCGCCGGCAAACAACCCTGGGGGAACTGCACATCCCAATGGCCTGAGGCGTGGGCTGGCCTGCAGTTTGGCCCATTGTCCCTGCTGTGACGTTTGCCACTCGATTTGGTACAGCACAATCCACAGGCAGTGGCTCACCTTTTGGTTTCTTAAGGTCTGGAAGTGGGACACAGAATCAAATTTAGCATCTCCCTCTCTTCTCCAGCGCAAATTCGCCACCGCAGACCACGGAAATCAGGGAAGCAGACCTTTCCCAGTGCCTACAGCACAGGACTCTGCCTAAGAGACCTATACTCTGTACTCTCCCCACTCAGCCACTGGTCTGCTGGGTGGATTTAAGAAAGGCCCTTCCTCTCTCAGTGCTTTACTTTCCCCACTGGAAAAAAACTAGGTTAAAAGAGAGATTTAGAAAAGTAACAATTAACTGCTTGCACGCATGGCTCAGCAGTGGGTTTAAATCTAGGACTTTGCAGCACGTTGTCACAAAACCTGAGCTAAAGCAGGAATTCCTTCAGCTGCCTGCAGTAGAAGGCTTTTATCCTTTAGGGGACTGGCTCAAAGGAGAGTGTGTCACATACTTGTTACTGTTTCAGTACAGCTGGGACTTTGCCTCCCAGACACTTACGCATTAGTCAGAGCCAATTATGCACTTGTTTTTCGAAGCCCTGATGTATATTCAGGCACCCAGAACATTGACTGTATAATGTGGCATGCATTTGCTTTCCTTGCAATAAGTGATTTTTAGATCGGGTGGAGGAGAGTTGACTAATATTTCCTTTGAGGTTGTATCTTGCCTTCCCCATGTTTGTCCTGCTCATCCCCAAACTGCCTCTCTGCTCTCCCGGACCACTCGTGTTTGATGCAGGTAACGCGTAGCAGTGTCTGGGGCTACTGCCTAGATCATCATCCCCTTCATTGGTTGCTCTTGAGGCTTCAGTGGCATTTGATAATTTAGGATAATGAGGACAAAATGCATGGGAACTGAGAAGAACCACTTGGAAGCCGAAAAAGCCTTGTTCAGGATATTGCCCAGTCTCTCACTAAGGCTAGCCTAGTCCTGTGCTGAAGTGGCTGCCATGGGGCGCATTGTGGAAGCCATAGAGACTGGTCCCCAGCCTCTATGCATTTATGCTGGGGAGAGAACTGATCGATTACTGCTGGGCACCTTGCGGTTACTCTGTGCTCAGCATGACGGACGGTGACATTTAATGCTCCTTTTTCCCTGGTGGAAATGTGTAGGGTGATGGACAACGGCATCTGTCCTGCCCAAGCAGCAGCAACTGTGCCAAGTGCAGGAAGGTTGGCGGTCCAGCTCAGGATGCTGTCACTCCTGGGACAGCAATGCCAACAAGCAGTGAATTCGCTGGTGCTGCATTGCTTCTCACCAGCCGAGACTCAGAGTTTGGCCTCAGAGTTTGCAATTACTTTGGACGAGGTATGCAACACGACGCTCCTCCGTGCACCCTGCTGACGATGGTCAGAGCACCACGTAGCAAAGAGCTGTCCAGATAGGCTGGGCGAATGTGTCACCTCTACCCCGATCACAATGTGTATGAAGTCCTAGTTGTGAGCAAGGAGGACCTGCCAGTGTTCCCATGTCTCACATGGATGGCATTCCTCCTGCTCCTTGTCCCTCGCATCTGGAAGGAGAAGTTACAGGAGCCATTAAAACCTGTGTTTAGGTGCATTGCTTGGGAGATGTGCATCAGGCATCTCATGGGCTCTGGAGTTTGTCCTACCCCTTTCAATGAGCTGAGCATCCTTATTGCACAGTGATGCTGATGTGAGAAGTTGGAGCTTAATGCTTGTGTCCCTCTCAGATCTACGGAGGATCTGACACTACACAGGCAATGTTAGCTTGCAGAGACACTCGGCTGGGGTGGGGATGTAGTGAATACAGTAGGGTTCATCCTTTTTTATTTTGTTTAGCTTCTAGAGCAAGTCCTCTTTGCACAGGGCGCTAGATGTGCAGCTTAGTGAGGGGAGAGGGGGAAGAGCTGGGGCTATCCCATTTCACTGGCTAAATTTTACCATGTTAACTAATTCTGGAAGCCATGCCCTTTGCTCTGCGTAGGCCCCAAAAGTGTGGCGCTAGACGTAGTCATTGCTATTCCGGGCCGCACCTCGGTGGACCCATGAAACCTCGCTGTGCGGATGTCCTCCCACATGTTCATTGCCATGCACACAAACCCATGGGGAATGCACTGCTTGTTCAGCTGTTGTCCGTGCTGACCACCAGAAAGGGGGAGTGGAGAACAAAGCCCAGATGTGAATGCCCAGGACAAGCAAGGTATCCAGGTTGTAGCATATTGGTCTAGAGGAAAAAGCATTCGGGGCTCGTGGTAGAGACAAGGAAGAGCAAGGGCATTTGAGATCCCAGCTCCAATCAGCATTTTGCAGAATGTCTCTTCTTTTCCAAAGGGCCCCAAAGCAAACACGAGCCAGCCCCCTGCCCCGCCATGTGGGAACTCAGCACCCAGGCTCCAGTCCCGCAGCTGGAGCTGATCTCTGGTGATATAACACAGAGTGGGCATTTGCAATGCTGTTGGCTCCTGAGCAGCAAGAGCTGAATGCTAATCCCTGTTCTGTTCAAGCAAAGCAGCAGGGATATATAAAACCGACCAACCCACCCTTGCTCTCCCTGCCTCCTGCCAGCATTTCAGAGGGTTTAAAGAGGAAGTCAGAGCTGGCAGGACTGCGGAAAGGGCTGAGGGGCTCTGCTCAGTCTTTAAAGAGCCAGGTGTCAATCGGGGCTTCCCCTCAGCTCACTATGCTCACATGTGAGTGAGGACACCCCTTAAGCAAGTGCTTATTTCCCCTTGAAATCAATGAGACTTGACTGTGGACCTGAACTGGGACCTTTATACCTATGAAAAGCAAAGGAGCGTTCTCTCTGCCCTTTACCTCCCTCGTTCACCGGTCCTGGCTGGTTTTCTCTTGGTGCTGCTGACATTTCCCATCTCTTGGCGCGTCTTTGCAGGATGAGAGCCAGGGTTTGTGTGAAGAGGGGTGCAACACTGCCGGTAAGGTTGCACAACATAGGATTCCTATTACTGCTTCCGAGACTCGCTGCCCTGCTCCCGAGCAGCTGCACGGATGGACCTGCCAGCTCCTCCAGCCAGGAGGACGTTCTTGCAGGGTGTCCGCTCATAACCGGTGTCTTTATGGACAGACCATGTTCCAGGTGAAAGGAAGGGATTGAGGTGTGACAGGTGCATTATGCAGAGCCAGGGCTGAAAGACCATGGGTACTAATGGTTATAACTGAAGTGCAGATGCAGAACTGTGGGGCTTGAGTGCCAAGACTGAAAAAGCAAGGGTCAAGACACAGGTTGGTCATCGGTCAAGACAGAGGTTTTACTACAGAGTGCCAAGAAGCTTCCTACTGGGCTCAGGGCAGTGCCAGTGCTACTGGCAAGGGGCCTACACAGAGCCCAAGAGTCTCATGCCTGGTAATTAGCCAGGTTATAACACTGTGACTTTAATTCTGCTGCCTGTAGGACCTGGAAAGTAGAGAACAGTTGTATCACAGCGCGCTCTGGCCCCTTGCCCTCTTTATCCCTTCCCTCAAATTGACCAGACATCCTTCTCCAGGAGGCTGGGAGCCTTACAATGTGGGTTATGCTTAGGTTGTGCTCCCTTATCTCCTTGGATTGCAAGCTCTTGGCAGCCAGGGCTGGCTTTCACTACGTGCGAGTACAGCTCTCAGCACAATGGGGGCTGTCATTTCAGCCGGAGACTCCGGTGAGCCAAGCAGTCAGCTTCCTTTTGCTGGGAGGTGAGTGATACGTTGATGGCTTTGCTCCTGAAGGCTCCTTCCTCTCTGCCTTTCAGGAGGTTTCACCACTCGCTCACCAACAACAACCGCTGGATACGGGAGCGAAGCCACGAGTCGTACGCCAAGAACTACTCGGTCGTCTTCCCATACGACGAGCCGCTGGCTGGGCGCAACATGAGGAAAGACCCACTGCACGAGGTCAGGGGGCTTACCCTTGTGGGAAGGGGTGGCTTGAGGGAGCCGGGCACCAGGATCTCTCTAAGCAAAGCTTGTCCATCACCATGTCCTCATTCCTGCAAATCCGCAGCAATTGATGGCCCTGAATCTGTAACAGCGGTTTCTTATTTGGCTTCAAGGGGAACCATTAAGCAGCGCAAAAAACCTACAACTTCCTTGCTGAGGAAGGGGAAGACTGGAAGCAGGGCTACCCCAGGACTGCCAGCATGGGCAGGCGCAACTCCATGACATACAGCAGCTATGAAGCCATCTCTTTTATGGCTAGTGCTGGACGTTGTCCTGGGGTTGGTTTGGTGCCGCTGTAGGACGGATAGAGAAGTATGCCAGGAGGTGAGATCCTGCTCAGCTCCTGGCATCCTCCCCCAGCTGCTCCAAATGAGCCCAGGTGCCTGAACTGCCTTGGGATGGAGCTCGTTAAAACCCAGCCCTCTCCCTGGCTGTCTCGCCAGCCTCGCTGAGTGACGCGCAGGGCTTGTGGTGTGGGAGAGCGATGCTTTTGAAGCAGATGGCACTGTATTAATAGCAGACTAGTGGCGTGTGGCAGATTACAAGGCTCTCTGTTCCTGGCCTGCCTGTGGCTGCCTCCGAAACACCACGCCGGCTTGGCTTCAGCTGCACACGACCTGGATAGGATATGGTAGCAGAACAGCTCCAGGAAGAAGGTCTCTCAAAGCTGGTCTCCAAAGATGACGTTTGTTTTTCCTCTCTGGTCTGTCTCGAGGGATTGGTACCATGCTACGGCCAGCTTATCATTCACCACTGCACTCCGTGGGGTCTAAGTCATGTGGCGGACAGCCCAGAGGTTGCAATTCGAGGTCATAGCACAAGCGCTCGTGGCACGGGCCGGCCCTGTCGGATTCCAGTGAATCTGCTAAATACCTCGTCACGAGGGCATGAAAAAGGGAAGGAAGTACTCGCGTACCCTGCAAACGTGAGACAACCGAGGGGCTGAGGCAAAGGGAGAGACAGACGTTTAAATAGCCTGGAGCTCGACCTGGTCTGGGCCTCCCTGGCACGGGTTTTAAACCTGTGCTAGCTGCTCTTTAGTTTTCTGTAAGGGAAATGCTATCTGGGCTCCTGGACGATGCAGTGTTGTACGCTCTTCAGCAGGTTACTTGTGGCCGAGATGTTTAAATTGCAGCACCCTGGCAGGAGTCCCGGTTTTCAGGCTCACTCCTGGATGCCGGTCTTGCTTCCATTTGCTTTCCTACCAGTTTGAATAAGGCCCGAATTAAAAAAAAAAAACAGGTTTCCCAAGCCAGTTTCAGTTTGTTAGTTCGGGTGACACCATTTCCCCTTGCCTTCCTCTTTCCCCAATGCAGAGCAGGGATATGAGCAGCAAAATGGACTTTTCCCCCTTTCCTTGTTCCCCCTTCCAGTCGACAGCTCGGTTGTTCTCTGTTACCGAGAACGCAGCTTTTTAATAGATTGCTTAATAAGTGATGCCCGTTTGACTGACAGCCCGGTATTTATACACAGCGTTCCAGAACATGTGCTATGTTTTATAAATAGAGGTGAATCATTTCTAAAATATTCAACAAAAACTATTCTTTTTGAACATAAACACAAAACAAATATATCCCCGTGGCCCGCCTAATTACTATGTGCAGGTCTGGGCTGTGGAAGGTGGAGGCACAAAAGGGCCATCTAAATATTAAATGCTGTTAATATTACCACTGTAGACATGTATATTGGGGCCGTGTTGTGGGGAACATCTGGCTTGTCAGTCATTGATGCTACATGGCATGAACTTGGCATGATGGACTTGTGCAACTCCTTGTTACAGTAGTAGTCAGATGAATAACTTACCCCAGTTGGATCAAAGGATAAGTTGCTTATTGGGATGTTAAGGGTATCTGCCGTTATTGTAAGGCCCTGATTATAGCACCTGCTGTAGGTTGCATTAGCCTGTGCCAGGCTGGAGAAGCAGGGGGGCCTAGCCATCCAGGCAAACTCCATGTTAGGCAACAACTAATAGATGCCCGTTCACAATGCAAACTACCCTTGAATCCATATTTAATGGCTACAGCCTGGAAGTGACTGGACGGAGGCCAGTGTGATCAGGTGCTTATCGCCCAGCTTTTTCTAATGCATAGGATGTGTTTTGTCCCCTTCTTGCAAAGGAGCTGCTACAGCAAGGCTGCGTGTTCCAGGAGAGGCACGGCTGGGAGAGACCTGGCTGGTTCAACACGCGAGGAACAGCTCCCGTAAGCACGGCAGTAATTCAAATGTCACCACCATGGGGTAAAGCGACGGAGCCCCATGAATGGTACAGAGAGGCTGGTGATTGACACAGGGGGTGGTTTGGGTCGGGGCGGCGGTGTTCACAACCAGTAGATCAGCTTGAACCTCAGATCTGAACTCCTTCCTATTTCAAAAGGGCGGGCGGGGGGCATTTGCAATGATCTGCAGTGGTTTGCTTTCCAGGTATGGGCTGAATACAGTCAAAATCTCATCCAAATCACTTGCAAGGCAAAAGCTGACTTGCTGCCCAGACCTGCTGCAGCCCCCTCTGCCCTTCCGCCATACGTCACCGTGGGTTGTATTTCCTCATTGTCTTTCTCTCCTCCCCACTTTATTTTTAGATTTTGGATTATGACTATTACGGTGCTTACGACCAAAAGCCTCATGGAGCCTGTGTCTATAACCAGCTGCTGGGGGATGAATACACCTTTGATTTCCCACCTCATCACAACACCGTAAGTAGCAAGGACGTGCGAGTCGATGGACTCCCTATCTGGAGACCTCAGCTCTTTCCCTCCATCACAGGACAGCTGGCTCACGCTGCTTCACTGGGCTAAGAGGAATCGGGAACAGGGACTGTATCTTTGCTTTATCAGACACTAGACATAACTGCAGGGTTGTATAAATGCTCAGTAAGCATCATAACTTTTCAAGTGGAATCCATTCTGATCCATTAGTTTCAGTAGTGCCTAAATCTTTTTGCTGGCCCCCTGTTTACGGGATAAATTTCACGCCACGGTGCATTGTGAAAAATGTGGAACGTCTTGTGGGGGCCCGTGTGCGCATGACTTTGAAGGCACTCACCATCAAAATAATCAGTTTCCAAGCACATCCAACAGCTTTCTCTTTGGAGGGATGAGTCCACAGCAGGCTGAGCATTTCAAAAAGAGCCCCTTGTTCAGCTATTGGAGAAATGCACAGGGAAAACTTAAGCGAGGTAAAAACAGAACCGTTGATCTAAAAACGACATGCGCATCCTGCAAAGGTTTGGGTCGGGTGAGACAAATGAGATGCAGATACAAACCCCTGTTGCTTTGGTTTTGCAAAACCCAGCAGATAAGGATTGGAAATATGGAAACCAGCCCCACCTTTGTCCATGCTCGGAAACGTCAAAAAAGCATCCAGAAGGAGTTTTACTGCTGTCCTTTCAAATTGAAGAGTTGAGAGAAAGCATGGGAAGTTTAAATTTGTCCTCGTACCAATTGAACAAGGACCTCAGAGCAGACACATAGAACAAAGAGCCCTTTTTTAAACTCTAGTATTTCTTTGCTGCAAAATGGGAGAACTGGGAGTCCAAACTAAACCCATCTGGAGATGAATCTTATAGGGAAATAATAACTAATTTGGCAGGATAGCACCAGTCTCCTAAGATAAGCTATTGATTGAAGGAGCTGGATCAGCGGGGCAGTGTTGTCACTCGAGATGCTGCATTTGAATACCTATTTTTAAAGGAGCCTTTAAAAGCACTACAGAAAGCTTAGAAAGCACCAAGTCACGTGTCCTTTTATTGTTTCCACTGTCTCCTTACATAAACGCTTCTAATTTGCCTGGATGATTCCTTTTGTGCAGCAAGAAAACATGGTGCTGCTTCATTTGCGTGTGCTTTAATTTTAGATCAAGAAGGAGTGCTTAACCTGCAGAAATGCAGTGGCCGTCTTTGACATGTCTTATTTCGGCAAATTCTACCTGGTGGGTCCAGAGGCGAGCAAGGCGGCCAACTGGCTGTTTACTGCTGATGTTAGCAAGTCGCCAGGTACGGGTTCAACCTTGTTATTTCAGCTCTGAAAATGCCCACTTTGTGGATGTGTCTGCTGAGCACAGGACAAAAAGGCCACCCCAGAAAATTATATATTTAATCAAAACAAGCTCTGTGGCCTGAACTGTCATTTTTTTTTAATTATTGCTTTTGCTGAGGATGTTTGAAAGCATTTGAGGTGGAAGGCTCTCTCTGCCTGCTGGGAGGGCTGGATTCAGATCTCATTTGCTTACACAGGGTAAACCTGGGGACTTCTGAAGCAGGAGGAAGGGAGGTGAGACCTGGCTCTCAAAGCCCAGGTGCAAATGCACCCCTGGCAAGCCGCCCGGGTTGGGCTAGGTAGCGGTGACAGACTCTGGATCATTTGGGAGCTCTGATGTCTCCTGCACAACACAAACTCACAGTATCGTAGTACTTGGGGTCAGAAGGGACCTAAACAGATCATCGGGTCCAACCCCCCACCCCAGGCAGGAAGGGGGTGCCGGGATCACATCACCCCAGGCAAATTGGGAGTCACCCCCTGAAGTCCAAGAGAGATAATAGTAGCATAAAACTGACGGGCAAAGGACATCTGTCCCATTCAGCTGGTCGTCCCTTGCTTACATGCTGTTCCCAGCTGCAGATGGATGCAAGGCCACCACCTGCAGCTGGCATTAATAGGGGAGCTGCGCTGATTCATACCAGCTACACCTCAGGCTCTAAATCTTTATTTCTAATCTGGGGCTAAAAGCCTCCTGCCATTAGATAACCTCCGGAGGCCCCGCTTTCCTCGTTAAATCTCAGTGCCCTCAGCTTCCCAACAGGTCGCCTTTATTTTCTGTGTATGCCCAGCTGAGCTGTGTTCTTGAGCAGGTGAAGATGCTGTTTGTTAGCTCATTAACCTTTTCCTTTACAGAGGGATGGCTTTGAATCCTGACCTTAACTTCAAAGGAAAAGTTAGTTGTTCAAACTGTCCAGTCCACATTTGTTCTCACCCTACGGCTCCAAGGCGATCAGTGCCGTCTGTTAGCGAGCGGCCCAGCCCCGCGAGGACGGACCAGGCCTCCGCTGGGGAACTTTGCGAGAAGGGGTGGGCACACGACAGCCTTACGATTCCCTTGTTCTGCATTAAGGGCTAACGAGCGTGCTCACGTGATGAGGGGACTCATTCGTGAGTGGGAAGATTGCATTGCAGGATTTGTCCCTCCACTCCTTCCCCCCAGCCCCACAACCCTGCAACGGCTAGCTGCTGTCAGAAGGTTTTGATCCCAAGCGGCTCTCTCCTGTTTCTAGGATCAACCGTTTACACGTGCATGTTGAACAAGCGTGGTGGTGTCGAGAGCGATCTGACCGTCAGTCGAATCAGTCCCGGGAGCCAGGCCTCCCTGGCTCCGGCTTTTGAAGGTAAAAACCCTGGGCAATAATCCTGTGCTTCCCATGGCATGTATTCGGGCCATCAGGTAGTTTCAGCTGGGTCAAAATTCCCTCTTTCAGTTTGAAAGGTGAGCCAGTGTTTTTGTTCAGCTCCGATCCCCAGCTCTTGGCTGGTCTACTTGTCCTGTGCTGAGCAGCTGTCGCATCCCCATCCTCAGGGCCATAACATCGAGAAGCCTAGGCCACTGAGCAAGGTCTCCTGCCTCGCTGCCATGCACGTGTCAAGGATCGAACCCCTGTAGGGCAGGGAGAGCCGCTTTCAGCTCATTGCTCCGTGCTCGGTGGGATATGCTGGCAGCCTTCTAGCTCCCTGTCATGTTGCTTAATATGAAAGCGGAGCTGCTCCTTCACGGAGCACAAATGCCCCCCCTGAAGAAAAGGCTCCTGCCAGCCTCGCTCAGCTCAGTGCTGCAGAAGGCGGTGGCCGGGAGCAGGATGGGGTCCTGCGGTCGGTGCCTGGTGGACCTGCCTATGGACAAGCCAGGAGCATAGCAAGCCTGGAAACCCGGTCCGGGGAAAGCAGTGCAATGATGTCCGCATTACAGATGGGGAACTGTGGCCGCAGGTTCAATGTGAGGCCCGGCAACTTTGGCGTTGTCTCTTTAATTCCACCGTGGGAAGGGGATCGTGTTGCTATCGGCCAGTGCTTGATTGGGTTACCTAATTCTAGCCACCTGGTATCCCCCCCGCCCTCCTTCCTCCACAGCTATCAGTAGATGTAACCAGATTAGCGCTTCTCCTTGTCCCCGCGGTGCTTGTAAACCAACCAGGTTCTTATTGGGTTTATTGGGTTTCATTCAGACATTGGTGCTCTGAATGGCGGCCGTGACCTCTCCTGCAGTCCTTATCTGCTGCAATAAAGGGGAATTAGAAAGGAGGAGAGCAATCAGCCTGGAGGCCACTAATGGCATTAAGCTGCTGCAGTGGAGGAGGGCAGCAGCGTGCCCAGGCTGGCTCCACCAAACTGCCTGGCCTTGTCCTAATGGGCGTCTGTTTGCTAATGATGCCCCTGCTCCCCCTCTTAAGGGAGGAGCACACATGGGAGGCGACACCTGGACCCCAGGCCTGAGAGAAGATAGCCCGGCGGTCAACATCCACTTGTCTTCCTCAGTCCTGCTAGCAGCGTGTGGGTCATGCTCTGCGTATGCAGAAGTCTCGGGTCAGGAGAGGGGTCCAGTCGGAGCAGGGGAGGGAGGGGGCATCTTGAGCTGTGTGACGGATGCCTCCTTGACGCTGGCAGAAACCAGCACTATTCCTCTCTGCCTTTCACGGACGTGAAATCCTCTTTCTCTGTTGTGCTGTCACACGTGCACAAACGCTCACGAATACACATACGTATGCATGCACAAATGCACACACACAAGCACGTGCATGCATGCACAATTGCACATACATATACACGCACATGCGCGCACACGTGTGCACGGACACACATGCTAAGCGGGAAATGTGAAGGGAAGCGGGTTGCAGAGCTGCTGTGTTTGATGGGTGATGGAGGAGTTTAATAAAAGCAGATCTATTTTTCAATTACAGTAGGTGGCTGCACTTATTATCGTTATGACAGATTACTGGAGTGCGGTTTTGTAGTGGCAGGAAAGGCAGAGGGAGGATCGATTTAAGGAGCATTAATCAGCTCCCAAATCCCTTCCCTGGGCTGGGTTTTTTCCCCTCTCCTCTCAGTATGACTGACAAAATGCAGTCCACTGCCCTTCCCCCATCTGACACGACTGCAGAAATCAGGGTGATTCCCGGGCTCCTGTCTGCAGCCCACAAGGTCCGACTGCTTCTGGACGCGAGGCCCGGGGTCAGTGGGAGAGGGAGCAAGGAGCGGGGTTTCCTTTTTTTACACTGACCATGCTGGCCTTGTGGTGCAGCCCCTTTTCCCCTCTCAGCCCCCCATCAGCTTATAGGCAACTCCTACATCGTGCTGGTCACACCAGTTGCCAGTCCTCTCATCAGCTGGACGGCTCCGGTTCCCACGTCCAGCCTTTCCACGAGGTGCAGAGCAGCGAGGCATCCAGCCTGGAGCTTGACGTCCCTCCCGAGGAGATGCTCCAGGACTGGGACCTGCACTGTCCTCCCGCGGCATCTCGGGAAGTTTGACTGCAGTGTTCCTCCAGAAGCAGCTTTTGTTTCCTCCTCTTTTTATGTCTCTTTGGATTGAAGCTGCGAAGTGTGGGCCAGGGGACATTGACAGGGCAGCTACCTTTCTACTGAGTGCCCCCTTCCAGGACTTCCTTTTTCCACCTAGAACATTTCTGCAAGTCCACAGGGGAATCTGTCAGTGCATCCAGTGAGTGGATATCAGGCATACAGTTGTCCATAAATTGCTCTGGCTTCCAGGTTCAGCATCACCAAAGTCCTCCAGGTCAGGGTCCTTCACTTTGCAGGAAGGCCAACTGGCTAAGAGCGTGGTAGCTGCCCAGGATCTTTGCTAAAAGATAGTGCAGACTGTTTCCAGGGCTTTTTGGGTGAATCTGATATCTTTTATTAGACCAACTCAAATAGCTGGAAAAATTCTCCAGGGCTCTAGGCATTTGCCATGAGGAGCTGCCCAGTATTGCAAGCCCCAAGGAACAGGCATCTTTGCTGAAGCGGATGGGATGCCTCTTGGGGAAGATTTGCAGAGTATGAGCGGGTGCTTTGGGAAATCAGCAGATCCCTTGTAGGAGGCAAGGAGATGCATGCAGGAGGCAACTCGAAGGCACGCAACCGAAGTCAGCCTGTTGCAGCCAAGTCAGAGGAAAGTGCTTGCTTGCGTAACACCACAGTAATCACCCCAAGGGGAAAAGCTGGGTGATTTGAGTGTCAGAGAAGTCATTTTCTAGAGGCAGAAGGGGCCTGATCCTCCTGCTGCTCTGTGCCAGGCACCTCCCATTGGCACCTCTGCCAAGAAGGTTCATGCAATACCGTCCTTCTGACTGCATTACCATGTTGCAGGGGTGTAAATGTACCTGGAGTGGGGAGTACAGACTTAAGCAGCTGCTGCCACCATTGATGTGTCAAGATAGGTCTATTGACAGAGCCCCCCC